TCGCCCCTCAAAATGTACAACTACATCAAGTGACCTCCCATATAGGAGAAGACCAAGGCTCGTGACGGGCTGTAGAGCCACAGATAATAACAATGATAATTATTATTACGAGGGTCGCTCATTAAGTAATGCCCCACATTTTTTTTCTCAGCCAATAATGAATATAGAAAAGTGTACTTTTACATGCTTGAGATTTGATGTTTCCCGCGTTCGTGTACGGAGTTTCAAATGATTCCAACCGATAGCGGGGCTGTAGTGAACTGTTAAAATGGCGTCTGTGAACGACTCTCGTTACAAGCAACGAGCTGTAATTGAATTCCTTGTTGCTGAAAAAGAAACGGTGGTGAACATTCATAAACGTTTGTGTGCTGTGTATGGAAGCTGTGCAGTCGATAGGAGCACCGTTGGTCGCTGGGCTAAGAGCGTTAAAGCTTCAGGAAGTGAAGAAACCGAGCTCCGTGATCTGCCGCGCTCTGGGCGTCCTGCCACAGCCACCACTCCAGACATGTTGAACCGCGCGGATGCCATTATTCGTGAGGATCGGCGCATCACACCTCGACAATTGGCCCAACAGCTTTCAGTCAGCAATGGAAGTGTAATTGCAATTATCCGGGCTCTTGCATATTCGAAGGTGTGCGCAAGATGGGTTCCACGAAGTCTCACAGCAGACCACAGGATTCAAAGGAAAACGATTTCTTCTGAATTGTTGGAGCGTTTTGATGCTGAGGGAGAGGTCTTTCTGTCCCGGATCATTACAGGTGACGAAACCTGGATACACCACTTTGAGCCGGAGACAAAAAGGCAGTCAATGGAGTGGCATCATCCTCAATCACTGAGAAAGAAGAAATTCAAGACAACTCCCTCCGCCGGAAAAGTCATGATGACTGTCTTTTGGGACAGTGATGGGTTCATTCTTGTGGATGTAATGCCAAGAGGTGCGAGACGCGTACATCGGGACCCTGAAACCCTCAAGAAACGTTTCCAACGATTTCGGCTTCACAAGCATCCAGGAGAAATTTTGCGCCTGCACGACAATGCACGCCCTCACATAAGTCTGAGCACCCGGGAATAAATCACCAAATTGGGTTGGACGGTGCTGCCCCATCCACCCTCCGACTTCCATCTCTTTGGGCCACTCAAAGATGCTATCCGCGGAACAAGGTTTGAAGATGACGAGAGCGTGATTCAATCAGTGAGGACATGGCTACGTGCACAGGACAAGAGCTGGTACCGGCAAGGCATGCACGCACTTGTTCCACGCTGGCGTAAAACCGTACAAGTTGATGGGGACTATGTGGAAAAATAGTATGTGTAAAGGAAACATTGATTTATATTGTCACTAAATTTCAGCCATCTTGAATAAATATGTTCTGAGGAAAAAAATGTGGGGCATTATTTAATGAGCGACCCTCGTACATTTCATTACATTTTTTTACATTACAATACATTACATTCAGCTACCACAGACCCATCTTAAGCGTAACTAATTCAAGTTAAATAAACAATGTCTTAATCAAACTATTTACTCAATTGTAAAGCATGTATATCCTTTATACAGAGACGTATTTACGTGAGATTCTCCGGAACCGTGGTTCCACTGTCAATTTTTCTTGTTTGTGTTCAACCAGTTTTCAGCCACTTGTTTGTTATTTGGTGCAGATAATCCACATTAAAAATAACACTGCTGCCGTCAAAACGAAAATAAAACGTAGGACTTTTTTAACGGCCCGACGTGAACAAAGACTGTCCGTTTACTGTCCGGCCGGACTCTAATATTGTGTAGTTACTCTCTCGTTGCCATCTGACGTGAAGTATTGCATTGAATCCATGTATGCTGCTTCCATCTATCGACGGGCGCAAGAATGCACACCGTGGTCTGGTCTGTGGCTTTCGATTTCCTCACATGTTATCTATCGCCTCTTAGTTTTTGACGTGAATACGTCTTTAAAATCAGACCGACGTATGGGGTACCAGGACGGAAATGGCGATGTAACGTTTGCAGGGTGATCCATTACGACACTATAACTTCGTGAATAATAACACGATTAAAATAAATGTGGTCACGTTCGATCGGATATACGACTACGATGCGAGCATGACCTTGAGTTGGCGCCGCGCATGCGCGGGGGGCGTGGGCGAAAATTTCCGGGCAGTATATCTCGTGACTCCAATGAGCTAGCGCGCTGCTTTTGGTGCCAAACGAAAGATCTCGTCTAGATCTGTCGATTTAAGCCATAAAAACTTGTAAAATATTTGTTGGTGACAAATCAAAAATAAGTCTTGAAAAATTTAAACTTTCTGATGTCGGCCCATACTCACCGAAAAGCCCAGAGGAAATACAAGAAACGCATCTCATCGGAAAGGGCGTCTAATCAGCCATCGATCAGTACCGCCATGTCCGTGGCGGAACGAGTGAGACGGCTTCGGGAACGTCGGAAAGTCGACGCGGCGCGCGCGGCAAACGACGGCGCGAGCAATACTCTGTATATTTGTTATGCTAAATAAAAGCCATGTATCCATTTCGCTACTTTCATTTCATTCCCATATCCCAAAGAAAATATTACCCGCTAACGCAGACGTATTCACGTAAAACCCACGGCCGTGTCCCCGACACAGCCACACCCCGATTTTTTCAGTCATTTCGTTGCATTCGAATATTTGATGATATGCAAAGCATGACGAATGTTAGATAGATATTTGGAAGGAAGCTCTCAGTCTTTGGCCTAGGGGGACGAGATAATCACGAATGAGTTCCTATTAGGATAGGTGGCAGTTCGTCTGAGACTTGAAGATACGACTCTAGAGCGGTATTATCATGGAAAACATAATCAGCAGCGAAACATCATGAAATGGACATCCAGTTACATTTTAATTACATGAATTGTAATAATGCGTATTTATGCACAGTATTTGTATGTGATTTCACTGTCAGTAATACAGTAATATAAACTGTGACAAAGATGTAGGGATGTAGACAGTGTATTTCGACCTTGAGGTTACCTTTGCTTATCGCATTGATAACTCTGTTTAACATGATCACACTCATTTCTGTAGCTCTTTCATATAATCGGTGTGCACATGACGAGGTACTAAAGAACAGGCCGTGAAACACGCGACTCTGTTTGATATCGGGAAACAAAAGTTTAACAGACCTATCCAAAAGTCGTGGATATTTAGTAATTTTCAGGATTATAATTTTACTACAAGTGATGGCACATTGTTCGTTGGCCTTGGAGTCCGTCTCCCACGTTATTATACAGGGTGATCGAGAAGTTACACGACCTATATTAAACTGTTTATTTGTTGCTGCAATACAATTCACCCGAAATAATAAACACAATATCGCTGTGAGTATACAAGAATCCGCTCGCGTCAGTTTGGCAGCTGTATTTCAACAGTCGAAGTACAAGGATGTGTTTTTCATTAGTGCGACTAGTGTTCATTGTCGAACGCTGCCTGGCATCTTGTTCTTACTTGACAGAATGAGTTTAGGGATACATTTCGCGATTGTCCTGTGCCAAACAAATCGACAGTATCTCGTCTGGTGTGAATCGATTCCAGGGATACATTTCTCGATTCTCCTGTGCCATACAAATGGACAGTATCTCGTCTGGTAAATCGATTCCGTGACACAGGAACTCTTCGCCGGGTTGTATCAAACTTGGTAGATATTTCCAACAGTTAATACAACATTCCTTCTTTTCAATGTACTTTATTTTTTGACAAATGAAACATGTACAAGGAATGAATTGCGTGACTGTACTATCAACTGTAGTAGATGTCACCAAACTGCGTACTTCAACGCCACGGAAGGACTCCACCCTGCCTTACCACGCAGCCCATAGTCACCGGTACAGCGTTGCTAGCTTTGCTACTCTGTGAGTTCTGAACTGTTCACAGGGCTTTGGTCCGCTATTCGTGTTTCAACGTTGTACAATTTAGCTATCACCTTGAAGCATGAATTTGTGACAGCTACGAGGATTAAAAGTTAAACGACGTAAGTAAACGAAGGCAGTAAACACTTCTGGAATGTCAGATTCTACCACAGTAGACATCACGTAGTCCTGATGATGGAGGCAGTAAGCACCTCAGAAATGTCTGTCAGTTTCTGTACGGCGCAACATCAATAAGACAGCCATCTTCATGCTTGCTGTCTGGAGAACCTCAAATTTCACCTTCTGTTGGTATTGTTCTGTTGAACTAATAAGAAGAAGTATTATATTTGCAACATTTCAGCTTGAGAGGAAATACACAAATGTCTGAAATGTAACCTCCTTCTGTGCCGAGAATACAGCCAGCAGTGATAACGACTGTGCTGCCACTGTTGTACCTACATTGTGAATAGTATGTAGCGCGAGGAAGTACAGAATAAAGAGCTGGCCTTGGATGATGGGGGTACTAAACAGATCGCTCGCCGCGGAGTTATCTGTTTTTGTTTTATCGTATTGTCACGTGTCGAGTGCAAATAGAGGCGGACGGTCAGCTCATGCGATCATAGTGCAGGTTGCGCGCGACCTGATCGGATGTAAGCTCTAGTAATGTGAGGTTCACTTCAGATGCGAACTTGATCTGTCTGAAAACTTTATTTTATTCAGTGATAATTTGAAGCGTATGTAATTTGTACACTTTGAACGACTTTGTGCATTGTTTTGCTGTTGACTATAGCCACGTGTGTTTGAGTTTGTGACGTGATAGTTTAAATTGTTTGAATGAACTTGAGAATTGTCGTCGCCGAATGTTTTTAAGTGAAAATGAAGGTGTGGGAAGATTCTGTATCCATGTGGACGTCGTCTCGTCTGGGTATGTTTTGCTCCACTATTCTGTGAGAGTTCATATGGTGTTGTGGAGCATAAAGCCAAAGGAAACACGTTTGTGTTTAATCGAGATGTCTTGCTTAAGAGCACTGGCATTTTTCGGGTGTGGATTTATTGAATGTTTAGATCAGTGAAAAGAAAACATTCCTGTCGTAACACTACAGTTAATACTGTTTCATGCTTTTTTAAGAATAGGAGTTAAATTTTCAATGAAAATATACTAACAGAAGTTATCTTTAAATAACATTAGCATGAAAAGTGTTAAGGGAATCTAATTGGATTCTCGTGTATGCATGTTGTTAGTAATTTATCTATTATACTTGCATTAATATTAAGTTTTTGTGGAACTTAACTTACTTGTCAATTGTGCCCTTTTTCGGAAAATTTCTTGGTTTTTATTTGTGTTCTTTCTGTAAGGGATAAGAGATTTTGGTTTGTGACTTCGTGTAGCGTTGTAAGTGGTTACGTGCGTTTCGGATTTAGGCCTCCGTTTTCCCTCCATCTTTAGGGTAAGATGTTCCTCCAAAACGGTGATGCCCACCCTGAAAACCTATCAACCTTCCCGAGACAGACTGCCACAGGCATAACGTTTGCCCAGATGTGAATGACCATTCATTTTCGAAAAAGGAATAGCCCGAGAAAGCCGAAAACGTTCAAAAGCGTTTGAATGCAATGACTTATATCAGGCCTTGGTCCAGGCCTGTAGCTGCCCTGTCCAGAAGTAGCTCGAGGTAATATCTTACAAATTCCGCTTCCTGTACCTTCATTACCGTTCTTCAGACATCTAGAAAAGTGCTTGTAG